AATATGAGTCTAATGAGGTTCTCTAATGGGGACTAGGAAGACTCCAGAAGGATTAGAGAATCACCCTTGCTCTGTCTCTGATTTACTCCTTACGGAGCCAGACTGGAGAGGCAGGTGGAGGTGGAGAATCCTTAGAAGAAACAACTGAGGGTATTCCAGTTAGTTGGTTAACCCTGTTCAAATGTCAGAGGGGTCGCAAGGTTCCAGGATGAGAACTGTGTCCCACTAGTGGACCCTGACATTGGTGTAGAAAGAAATAGGAAAATAAAACAGAATAGAGACCATCAGCGAGCACAGCACGTGTTAAAGCTGGGTGGTTTCAGGAACTCTTCTTTGAAGGTATGTCTAGGACGATGTGTGGACTAAGCCACAGTGGAAAGGTGATTTGTTACCAGGTCTCATGGTCTAGAGCTTCAAGTCCTCAGACTTCCTAATGCTGCGGCCCTTTAATGTAGTCCCTCATGCTGTGGTGACCCCCCCCCAACATAAAATCATTGATACTTCATAACTCATTTTGCTACTGTTATGAATCAGAATGTAAATGGGTGTGTTTTCCGATGTTTTTAGGCAAACCCTGTGAATGAATCAGTCGGCCTGCAAAGAGGTCACGACCCACAGGTTGAGAGCAGCTGCCCTGGAGTCTGGAAAACACTTCTCCACGAATAAACTCAGCTACAGGTGCTCTCTCTGCCTTATGAGAACTTGAACTATAAGGCAAATGATCATTCTTAAGACTCTAAAATGTATAGGAATGTATATATGTGTATATATATATACACACACACATACATATATGGGGCCTAGAGAGTAGCAGAGAGGTCTTCTCGTGGAGACTTGAGAAGATCAATTACAAGGTGAGCAGGTATCTGGGGTCTTCTTGTTGAGAAGGGTAGAGTCTTGAGGTGAGGTCAAAGCCAACTTCTGAAGACAGGGGTCAGAGTCTGGAAAGATGGAGCAGTGCATGTTCCAGCTGTGCAGCTGGGAGAAGAGGGTTAAGCTGCAAGCAGCTAATTCTCACATCTTGATTAACCCATTTCTAATAATCTGTGTAGCACCACAAGGTGGTGGCTTACTGGGAAGGATCTTAACCTGCGTCCATCTTGGAGAGGAGAGCTATAGCGTCTGCCTCACTTTTCTTCTTACCAGCATTCTGTTCTGTCTATTCCACCTATCTAAGCTGAGGTCCTATCAAAGGCCAAGGCAATTTCTTTATTAACCAATGAAAATAACACATAGAAGACCCACCTACATCAGACAGGATATAAGGAATAGACCTGACTTCTCCAACCTTTGGTCCAGGTGGAGCAGATCCACCTCTACACCCAAAATACTAATTACCCATACCCTAGATCAGAATTTCTCATTTGTAGCCACATCTGTTGTCAACAACTTTGAGAGAGCAAAAATAAACTCCAACTCTCTGGCCTCCAGTCAAGGTGGAGCAGGCTCACAACTGTGGGTCCTCGCGGTTAGGTGGGATAGACTTCTAGGTGAGCAGCTTTCACCAGGTCAAAGCTAGCATCCTCTCGGGATAGAGGAAACAAACCAGATTTAAGCTAGTCACTTGCTTTGATTCTATATCAGCTAAGCATTAATAACTATGTAAGTTGCACAGGCATGCACAAATAGTAAATGCTCATTGTGCTCCTGACATCTTCTACACACATCACACACACACACACACACACACACACACACACACACACACACACTTTTAACTTGAAAGAGCACAATGCAGGAGACCTAGGTTGGAAGCACAGCATTTGGACATGCCGTCTTGGAATCCAAGTTGTAGTTTAGAGATTTTAAGTGTTATTTCTTCTGTTGTCGTTAACTTGCCTTGAGGTCTTTTGCTGTAGGAATACATGGAAACTATGAGAGGCTCCTGAAAGAATCCTTTTGGCAGAGAGGAGACTGTGTTTTTCAGCCTGTGTTTGTTCATTGTTGTCACTACCTACATTTTTCCCCTCCATGTTCACATATGAAAATAATTATTCTCAGTTCAGGAAGTCAGTTGTAATCGTTAGTTTGGCTTCAAAGGATCCAGCACCCTTTGGAAGGTCATACTAGCCCTAAAGACAGCTGGTAGAAGCTCTGGCCTGGGAGTAATCTGTATTTTCCTGACGGGTGACCTCTTAGGACTTGGGTTTGAGTCCTGGGAAGAAGGAATACATCTCGTCTGAGATGGGAAGGAAGAGTGTCTGTCTCCAAGAGCTGGGAACAGACAACGAAGTGAAACAGATCTCCCTGGCCCCTTCCCTCAGTCTTTACCTGTCCTCTGTGTTCAATGGGTTCCACTGCAGAGAGGCTTCGGGTGAAAGGGTCCAGCACAGGGGTCAGGGCCCTGATTTCTTGCCCCAGATGTGTGACCCTAGGCAAATCTATCAGAATCTGCGAGTTTCTGTTTACTCAGGTGTGTGGAGGGTTTCTACAGACCCTTCTGCAAAGTGTAAATGCCTCTCTCTTCCTTATTGGATCTTCATCATGGCGACTGTAAATTAATCTTTATCTTCAGACAACAATAGAATCAAGCTCAATATAAGTGCTGTGCTTCGATGGATCTGACAGAAAGCCGTCACACCTGTGCCCGTGGCAGGAGTTAATATAATAGAGAATCTATGCCCCAGGGACTTTCAGATTGTAGTGGGCAGAAGAGCCAGCTAGGAGCTCATGGAAAATGCATGGAGAGATTGGCGCCAAGTCTCAGCGCAGACAGCTTCTCCACGTGGTTCGTATCCAGAGGGGATACTTGCAGACATCCAAGCCTAGGCTGGGTTCCCCGGGCTGTCCCCGCACAGCTGGTCCTACCAAGTTCCACGTTTTCACTGCTGATAGAGAATCAGCTGGGAAGGTTTGGGGCATGCAGTTTGAATGTGCACGCAAGGGGCCACCTGACCCTAGGTTAGCAGCCAGCCAGAGCTAATAAGGGAAATAAAAATTAATAATACCAATTTTGCAAATCATTCATGTCCCAGTTCACATAAATCCTGATCGAAGCATGCCCGAAATTGTAGCACGTCACGTTTGAGGCGAAGATGTGGGTTATAATAGAACCCATTTCCATAATTCTAACACACTGAGATTTCCATCTGTTAAAATGAGGCTGTGAAATTAAAAGCGCCATTTTCTTAGAGGAAGTTTTAAAGCAAGACTAAAATCAGAGGAAGGTCTCTTTGGAGTTTGGAAATGAGGGTGGACGTAGCATCAGAAATATGCCACGCTTTCCTTAAACGTTCTCACAAGGTAGGTGCCACACTAAAGAAAAACACCCAAATTTATCGATTCAAGAGAAAATAGAGCCACAGACATCACCAGACATGGCTGGCACGGGGAGGATGTCACTAGATCTTTGTTGGATGGATGTGTCAAGCACAAGCTGGGGAAGAGGCAGAAGAGAAGGGCAGAGGAATAGGAAGCAGGTTCTCTAAGAACCTGGAGAGGAGACCTAGCATGAGTAGATTTCAGACATCAAATATAGAAATTCATTCCCTGGGTTTGCTTAAACAAAAGACTCCATACTGGGTGGTTTAAGGCAACAGAAGGTTGCTCTGTGTATAACAGCACTTACTGTGCAAGTTAAGGACCCAAGTTTGAATCTCCAGTCCCCACTTCAAAGTCAGGCAATGGCCATACGTGAGCACGAGACAGGCAGCTCCTGCAAGCCTGCTGGCCAGCCAGCCTCACCAGCATGAGGAGCTTCGGGTTCTGGGAAAGACCCTGTCTCAAGGGAGTGAGACGAGGTGATGGAGCAGAGCGGTCGACATCCTTCTCTGGCCCCTGAATGTGCACACAGACAACTGCACATACCCGTGCACATATACATATATACTGCACACTATACACACTGTATACAGATATAAAGCAACAGAAATATCCTATTTGAGAGTTCTGAAGGCTGAGATGCAAACCTCAAGGTATTAGCAGGACCACGCTCTTCCTGAAAACTATAGGAGGCTCCTTCTCACCATTTTCCAGCCTCTGGTGGTTTGTTGGCACTATTTGGCATTCCCTAACTGGCAGTCACACAGTTCCTCTGTGAACTGTCATTACTACATGCCACACTTCCTGCGTGTGTCTGGTTTCAGATGCATCTTTTTGTAAGGATGCTGGTCATATCGGATGAGGGTCCTTTCTACTCCATCCAGTATGACTGCAACTTAAGCAATTACATCTCAACAATCCTATTTGCAATTTAGGCTCTATAGTAAGGTATCAAGGGGTTAGGACTTCAACATATGTTTTGAACAGTAAAATAGTTCAGCTCATAGCAGTGGCACTTAAAATTCGCATTGAGTTATCTCTTGGGATGGCTATTAAGGAAAAATGAAAACCCAAAAAGAAAAAAAAAACAAAAAACAATAAACAGAAATTTTGGAGAGGGTTGTTTGTTCTTTGTTTATAAAGAACAAGTGTTGGTGAGGACAGAAAGAGTTTGGTACTCTTGTAGAATGCTGAGGAGGATGTAAAATGGTCTGTGTCTTTGGAGAAATGCACAGTAATTACTCAAAAACAAAGTGTAAAATTGTCAATCCAGCACTTCCACTTCTGCTCTATCTATCTATCTATCTATCTATCTATCTATCTATCCATCCATCTATCATCTATCATCCATCTATCCTCTATCTATCATCTATCTATCTATCTATCTATCTATCTATCTATCTATCCATCCATCTATCATCTATCAATCAGTCTATCTATCTATCTATCAATCATATTTCTATATTTCTATCTACTTCTATTTTAGTCTATCTATCTATCTATCTATCTACCTACCTACCTACCTACCTATCTGTCATCATTATCGTCTATCCATCCTCAAGCAAGGACTCTGTCCTTGCACACCCATGTTCAGAGCAACATTGTTTACCAATAACCCACAGGGAGAGGCCACCCCTGTGCCTATCAAGTCAGCCCTAGTGTAGGGATGAATAAAGGGAATGTAATAGAGAGAAACCATAGAATGTTATTCACATTTGAAGAAATAGAACATCACTGACCGTCATTGCCCATTCCTACAGTGCCAGGGCTTAGAAGGCTGAGGCAGGAGAAACTTGAATTCAAGGTCAGTTTGAGCTACATCGCAAGTTCAGTTATCTGGACTTTATATGGAACCTTGGTTCCTGTCTAGGGAAGGGACAAAGGGAAAGAGGGGAGAGAGAGAGTGAGAAGGAGAGTGAGAGAGAGAGAGAATATGATGCAGATTTTGATTCCTCTTCTACAAGGTGATCAAATCCACAGAAGAGAAAGTTATCACTAGGGGTTGGGGAGAGTGGGAAGCAGGTGACTAGTGCTTAATGCAGAATTAATGTAGAATTTCCTCTGGAGAAGATGGAGAATTCTAGAAAGGGATGGTGGTGCAGGCTGTACTGTATGTGCTTACTTATGCATCCAGATGGTGCATTAGGGGTGATGAAGTGGTACATTTTACGCTGTGTATCTCTACACTAAAAATCAAAATGAGGCTTCAATAAAGGAGTTATCAAGGGTCTAGGACAGTGATTAGAAGAACACTGAGACCCACCTTTAAACGGTAAGGAGGAGGTGTCTCTAATCGGAGACACTTAGACACATTCTACCCAGAACTCACCTTAAGAGTAGGTAGCTAAATGTCTTTGCAGGTCTCTGAGTCGATCCTTCTATGCTATGAAGCTTCTATTGCTTTTCATCCTATTTTGGCTTAGTAAAATAAAATTATTTTATTTTATAAGAATAGCATAAAGAATGATCCCCCCAAGTGCTTTGAAAGTGAGCTGTTAGCACAAGCGTTCATCACCTTCAGTATTTTAATGTGATTTTCCTATATAGGAGACTGTGCTCCTAGATGTAGACATGACCACATCCTGCAAACTTTAGATTTGTGTGTTTGATGTGGAGTGTATGCAGCAGTCAGAAGCCAGAAGGGACATATGAGGGAGGAAGAAGAAAGGGATTAAGGAATGTGGGGGCAGTAAAACACATACACAAGATGATAGAGGTGGTGGAGGATTCTGGGGGTTAAAAGTTTAAGCAGAGACTGTGACCTGCTGTGGAGTAATTCCTCTGTACACTGTAAATATGTATTACTCTCATTGGTTATAGTAAGGCAGGATAAAATTAGGTGGGACAATCAAACAGGACACTGGGGTGAAGAAGGAAAGAGCCAGGAAAGAGATGCCAGCAGCTGCTGAGGAAGCAGGACTTGTAGAAAATGAGGTGAGCCATGCAACAAAGCACAGATGAGAAATGCGGGTTAATATAAGTGTAAGAGTTAGCTAATGACTAGCCTAGGCTATTGGCTGAGCATTTATACATAACAATAAGCTCCTGCATCAGTTATTTGGGAACAGGTGGTCAGGACAGGAAAACTCTACCTGCAGTGACTTACCTCCTCCCACCAGGCCCCACCTTCCATAGTTCTACCACCTTCCAAGAGTTTATTCAAATATTAAATCTATCAGTGGGTTAAAACACTCACTAGGCCAGAGCCTAATTATTAATTATTAATCTAGGTATTTCTCAATCCAGTCTACCTTCTCAATGAAAAGTCCAGTGGGAATTTGAAAAAACGACGTCAACCTGAAGATTTTCAAACGTATATGAAAATACGAAGGACCTTTGTCCTTGAAGAGGAAAAATCAGATCAGTTGACTCACATCACAGGATGTCAAGTCCCCGGTGAAGAGTCAGCAAGAGGGTCCTAGTGGTCCCACTTCTTCACTCGACCTCAGCCCAGAGACCTGGAATTGCTTATTTCCACTTCTTATTTTCTGTAAACTTGTATAGGTCCTTCCCACACTGTACCGGGGTTCTTCTGGGTGATGAACAGAGTATGGCCAAAGTGACAGTATGTTTCAAAGACTGAGTTATGTGACTTTATGAGTCTCTCCCCTCTGTTTGTTCAGAGGAGAGCCACGTTCTCTGTCATGGATAGCTCTCTGAGGACTGATAAGGAAAATGAGCCCCTAAGATACCCTGCAAAGAGCAAATGCTTCTTCCCACAGTTATGCTGGTGAGCTTGGAACCAAGCCTTCCAGTACTGGTCCAGCCTTCAGAGGGCTATAGCTTTATCTGAGACCCTTAGATATACCACCTAACTTAACCGTTCTGAGATCCTCAACCCCCAGACTTCTGTGCAGTGATAAGCCCATGTTGTTCTGCACTACTAGCTTTTAGGTCATTTGCAGTACAGCAATAGATAGGAAATATCAAGACTTATATTTTTATAATAATTATGACTGTGGTGTTAATGCAGTAATTGACAAACAGATCAGTGGAACACAACCACGTGCAGAAATAGACTTTATACACATACATTCAATTAGTTCTGACTAAGGCACCAATATGATTTAATGAGGGGAAGATAGTCCTCCAAAACATGACTGAGAAGACATTATGCCATAATGTACACCAAAATAAATTGAAGGTAAAACACAGAGCATCTTGAAATAAGCCAAGTTTTCTTAGCTGGGGCACTAAAGGCACTGTGGTGATTTTTTTTTAACTTGCTCAGTATGGGAAAGCCACTGACCATGTCCATGCAGGATTCCCTAAGTGAGACAGACATGAGGAAGACTCACCCTAACTACGGGCAGACCATTCCATGGCCGTGGCTCCTGGACTGCAGAAAAGGGAAACTGTGATCTGAGGAAAAGCACTCATCCTCCCTTTCTTCTTCACTGCAGGCACAATGTGACCAATGACCTCAAGCTCTTGCCACCATTATAGCGGCCTGTACCCTTGATGGAAGAGCCTTAAGCCTTCTTCCTTTCTCGCTGGGCTTTCTGGGGGCATTTGCTCGCAGCCACAAGACAAGTAACTAATGCAGGAAATGAGGTACTCAAAAGTGGGGTTGTTGCTATGATTAACCTCACCATGTGGCTCTCAGGCCATTAGGATTGGTTTGTAGCAGGAATGGGAAAGAATTTGACACTTTGGGCTAGAAAAACCCTTGAATGCATTAGGCAAAGGATAATGGGCTATTCCGATGGGAGCTGGTAAGCCAAGAATGCTAAGAGAAATACGGCAGTGAAGGTCGATTCATGAGGCACCAGAGAAGAACCAGGGCTCTATCAGGAACTGGCTAGCATCGGCGGCACTGTATGTTATTGGATGGAATATGTGATAATGCACAGCCATTGTGTAAAAATCCTGCCCATTTCTTATAAAAGTCAAAATATGCCTTAATCTGATCCATCATTCCTCTCTTAAATGTTTACCCAAGAGATGGAAGACACTTTTCCCCAGAAATCCTTGCATAAGAGCATTTACATCAACTTTATTATTATATGCAATATTATACTAATTGCATTATTATACTCTATAATTATATAGCAGCCAGAACCTGGAAACAAATTGAATGCCCACTCATAATGCATGGATAAACAAATTGCCCTATACTCACACAAGGAAATACTACTCAGCCACAAAAAGAAATACATGCTTGACATATGAAGCCAAGTGGATGGGAGATCATAAGACATCAAAGAACCCAGGCACTAAAGAGCATACACATTAAATGCCACAAACAGGATGCCACTCTTAAGGTGACAAATGTTAGCAAGTATGGACAAGGGACCTTTGAATAATACTGGTGGGGATATACATTGCTATAGTATAGTATAGGAAAACAATATAAGCGCCTTAAAGAATTCAAAATGAACTATGATGAGGTCCAGCAAACCCACTTCTGGGCATGTGTCTAAAGGACAAGACATCGGTGTCTCAAAGATACATCTTCACTGCTTTGCTCACTGAGACATTTTTTTTATAGTTGCCAAGAAATATGAACAACCTAAATGTCTGTTTCATGATGAATGGATAAAGGAAACGTGTGTGTTTGCGTATGTGTTTATGTGTGTGTTCCTGTGTGTTCATCTAGATGTATGCATGCATGTCTGTGTGTGTATTTCTGTGTGTATACATGTATTTGTTTGTGTGCGTGTGTGTTCATGAGCGTGTATATGTTTGTATGTGCGCATGTGCATGTTCGTGATAGAATACTAATTCAACATTTAAATAGGAGGAAAACCAGGAACCTCTCCATTTGGGACAACGTAGATGAACCTAGAAAAAAAGGTCTGAGAGTGAAGAGGAAGTAGAAAAGAAACACACAGAAAAGAAAGTGCTGGAGATGAGATCTCCAGCCGTTCAGACTTAGCGGTGTCGCACGATTTCCTGATGCTCCCAGCATGGTCCGTGGTAGACTGAGTTCAGTAAATGCTCTATAAAGAGATGGAAAGAGACCCGTGCTTTAAAATCTTTCCCAATGGCGTTTCTGCGTTTTGGAATGGCCGCCTGCAAATTTTAGGAGAACCAAGATTTGCCCCTGTTCTTTGCAGAGCCTACCTCTGCGTGGGCGCATAGGACACTAACTGACATGCGCACCAGCTCTGTTCTCAAAGTCCTGCTGCCGCCGCCGTCCCCCACGCCCCGCCCGAAGTGGAAATCTTTAAATGTGCTTTTGGTTGTTTTACAGCCGTTTGCATTCAAATTGGGTGTGTCACTATCACATTTTATTAGCTATTCCTCATACCAGTCCTGTGAGGTTAGCCTGTTATCTGCATTTTACAGGCGAGGTGAAGCAGCTCGCTGGATCTCCCTTGGTGCAAGGGCGACGGAAGAGGGGGATTTCAGCCGGCAGGTTCTGCTCCCTGCCCACAGGGCTGTTTCTTTCAATGGGCTTGCCGTTGCGAGTGCAACAGCAAACTGGGCATTTTCTGCGGAACACTTTGAAAATATTTTGATGACTGTCTTTCCAGAGGGGAAAATCCGTGTTAGGGCTGCCGTTCTTCTGCCGGATTGTTTGGTCCTTGAACTGCCTGCCCTCTCAGGAGACTCCTGCCTCTATTTCCGGCTCTGATGCTGACCTCTCAAATCCCACCCCTTTCCAGCAACCTCCCTGTGCAGCCCACCCACGTAGCAAAACCTACAGGATTGGGTTTGGAGTAAAAAACTTTTATGGAGTTAGGAGGGGCTTAGGTCTAATTAAGAAAGTTTTAACATGGTCCACGAGCTTCTTAAATTGTGTGCATTTACCCAACTCTATATATGCCGTTTTCTTCAGTACGTATATAACAAGAATAAAATGTATTAATAAAAAAGGCATGAGTCGAGCATACAACTCAGTTGGTAGAGGACTAGCTTTGCATGCATCAAACCCTGGGTTCCATCCAGCGTTGCAGAAGCGCACAGTGATGTCACAAGTCCGCAGTTCCAGCATCAGGAAGATGAAGGCAAAAAGATCAGAAGTTCAAGATTTTCCTGGGCTTCACAGTAAATTCAAGGTTAGCCTGCTGTACGTGAGATTCTGACTCGAAAACAGAAAATGAATGAGTGAATGAATGACACAGTAAAAGAATGCAATCTCTTTGTTTCTCAAAACCAGGTCATTTGAGGACTGGAGAAATGGCTCAGTGGTTAAGAGCAATGCTGCTTTTATGGGACCTGGGTTTAATTCCCAGCACCTGCACACCAGCTCACAACCATGTGTACCTCCAACTCCAGGAGAGTCAATGCCCTCTTCTGGCCTATGAGGACAGCAGGCATGCTCTTGAACAAACAAAGACACATACACATAAACTAAAACAAAAAAAAAAAAATGAAAGGTCATTTGATCATAAGCACTGTGATAGCAGAGCAGTCTATTTGAAAACAGGAATGCATACTAAGAGGAAGGTAATGTATATAGTGTGGAAACACTGGTCAAAGGGATATCTGTTTCTCAGATGAGCTGGAGTAAGACGGAGCACAATTCCATCCCACTATTCAGAGCCATACGTGATTTAAAACTCAATGAATTGCCTATTTCTGGATTAAATTGTTTTTCTCCAGACCACAGTTGACCGTTAGTCCTAGAAAGCAGAGCGGCAAAGGAGATAGCAGGCTATGTATAAACATCATGGCTGACAATGTTCACAGCATTTTTTTTGTCCAAAGGAGACGAAGCTCTCTGGCATTGAAGCTTGTCTTCAACAGTTTGACCCTAATTGAAGAGAAAACTGAAACTTGCTGAGTTTTAGGAACTTTCTCAACCAGCCCAACAGAATCTCAGCCCCGTAGGACATCAGGAAGTTCAGATGCTGGAACAAATACTTCGATTTGAAGAAAGACACAAGATTCTGAACTTGTTTTCTTCTTTAAAAAGTAGATTTACTTATTTTATTTTTCAGTATATGGTTGTTTGCCTCTATGGATGTATGAGGAGGTCAGAAGAGGGCATTGGATCCCCTGGAAGCGGAGGTATGAACTCTTGTTAAACACCTGTGGGTGCTGGGAATTGAACCAGGGTTCTTGGGTTCTCTGCAAGAGCAGCAAGTGTTATTAACCACTGGGCCATCTCTCCAGTCCCTCGACTCTCTCTCTCTTCTTTTTTTTTTCTTCCTTCCTCCCCCTCTCCCTCTCTCCCTCCCTTCCTTCCTCCCTTCCTCCCTTCCTTCCTCCCTCTCTTTCTTTCCTTCCTTCCTTCCTTCTTTCTTTCTTTCTTTCTTTCTTTCTTTCTTTCTTTCTTTCTTTCTTCTTTGCTGAAGAACTGGTTTCTCTGAAAGGCTTTCCTTTGTCAGCATAAAGTCTGACCTTCCCTCCCTTTCCTTCCCAAACCTGTGCTTTGGGGCCTGATAGACATTCAGGGGACTGTGGTGCTCAAGCTTCTGGGTGTCCTTCCCCCCAATAGCAGCAGAGAGTGATGGCTTTCCCAGAATTCCTGCTTCTGCTAACTGGCCGGCGTGACCCTCGGTGCTCTTGCTGCAGCTCACTAGCTCCCTGGGTGACGCAGGCTGATTCAGTTAAGACAAGCGGTCTTTAACCTTCACCGCACACTTTAAATTCACCAAGGGAGCTTTTAAAGATCCCCTGTCCATGGCCAGGCCGCACCCAGGGCCAATTAAATACAAATCTCTGGAGGAAAGGCTGAGTTAAAACTCCTTGAGTGATTCTGGTGTGCAGCCAGAGAACCAGTGATGGAAGGAACAGCAACTGTGATTTTAGGGGCCATTCCCCACAAGGTGTCTTAAACGTACTAGTCCTTTTGTTCCTTATTTAGCAGGAGAGGCTGTTTATCAGTTCTAATATCACCTGACAGGAAAGCACACTGCTTCTGGGGCGATCTTAACTCCCTAGGGATATGCAACATGAGAACAGAGGATGGCTTCCTGCAAGCTGTTGGCAAAACATAAGTTTAGTGAAGATTAAATGTGGTGGTGGCAGCCACCAAGCACCTTCTGCAGAGCTGGTGAACCAGAAAGACGCTGTCACAGCCTCAGCCTTTCCATTTCTTTTCTAGGTTGCTCTTCCTGTGTTCCAGTGTTCTGATGAGAAATCAGTACTTTGACTCAGGAAAGCCTGTGTTCATTCCAGCAGATGAATAACTGTAGCATTGTTTGCATATGTTAACCATGTTTGATCAGAATCTTATTACATGCGGATATTAGGTTTTAGGGGGCATAGAGTGATGGAATATATTGTTGAATATATGCCTCACTAATTACATACAATTCATATATTTTATATTCTGTAGCCTTTATGTCTGTTTTCCTGTCTCTTTCTGTCCCTGTCCCTCTGTCTCTGTCCCTCTGTCCCTAGTGTGTCATCTCTCTTCTTTATGGAATGGATGGGGAGATTCTGCTTTTAACTGACAGCAAAGTTGTTGCCGGTAGCACGGTTCTGCTCTGAACTTGAAACCTTGTATAGCCAGATGACCCATCCGTCTCCGCACTGCAGTCACAAGGCTACAACAGAGACTGTTGCCCACTAATCTGAGATTTAACTTCTCTTCCAGTCTATTTGTGAGACTCAAACATTGTCTGCTCCCTTCCTTCCTTCCTTCCTTCCTTCCTTCCTTCCTTCCTTCCTTCCTTCCTTCCTTCCTTCCTTTCTTCTTTCCTCCTTCCCTCCCTCTTTCCCTCCCTCCCTTTTCTGAATTAGTGCCATCTAATCACATAGGGCAATGACAGAGCATGACTTAGGCCAGATGTCTTTGTAGGAGACACTGGTGTTGGCTTCCATGGTGGAGGGCAGACAATGACTTCTTCCAGAGTGTCTTTCTGTGCTGACAGCACAGACGGAATAATACTAACGAGAACCAACATTTCTGGCAGCCGCAGAGGCTGGGAATTGTCTTGGGTGTTTTGTAGGAAGGCAGGTAACCAGATCCATCTAAGGACTCTGGTCCAGATTCCGTTTCCACGTTCTGTTCTGTCCAGATGGCCCTCAAAATAACCAAAGACTGGAAGGATTTTCTTCTTGAAAAATGTGTTTATACTGAATATGTATTCTTGCCTTCCTTCCCTAAAAAATATGTAACAACACTAGGTGTCATGAGACATCTAGGCACGATTTAACATATGCAGATTATGTAGGTTACATGCACACATACAGTTTATAGAAAGCTTTGCCACTGAGGCACAGCTGAACTGTAGGAGACACCATGGCCTGAGAGTTGTCACTGAGGGAAAGAGGGTCTGTGTCAACTTCAGAAGGGGAGGGAATGAGACAAATGGCTGGAACTGTCCAAGCCCTTATCCTTACTTTTACCCCATCCTTCCAAATATGTGCTCCCCTGGGGGATGAAGGGACCAGAAGGGGCCACAGGAAAAAGGGAGAAATTCCGCTCCCGCTGTATCCACTTCCAGCCTACACTGAGCACTGCTGTATGTCCAGCACGCTTTCCAGTCATCTGTACACAGAGTTTCTAGAAGGTCAACACTTGACCAAGCTTCACTGTTTCTAAAGCATGGGGCTGGGTGGGGACCAGGCTGATTGATGCCATAGTTCCTATCCTTAGCCCAGGTTAAGGTAGGAACCAAACTCACCAAACTGGTGACACTGTGCGAGCCTCTTACTTCCAGGGCTTTTACTCATTTAACAATTTTTGAAGATTTGTGGTAGAATATAATTGATATATAAAAAAGCCAATAGCAGTTTCTAATTGGGAAAAGAAAGTGGCCGTAGATAGAGCTAGAAGGCGCCATCAGATGAGACCTGTGCATTAGCTTCCATTGTCTTGGTCTGATCTGTGAGAGATGCATCTTTGTGTGTGTTCTTCCCATCACTGTGGATAACACTATCTGCTACTCCAAAGCTTTAATCTATGGATGGATTCACCATGCCAACTGCTATCTCACATCCAGTAAACATTCAAGTTTAGGAGGGGGCTCTACTTCTCCATGTACAGGCAGGACTTCTGCCCTTCTCAAAACAGGGATCCTGGCAGCCACATGCTTTCTGGTTGGACGATGTACTCTTGGCATGCAGATGGTTGGTGGCACAGTATGGGCAAATGCATGCCAGGGGTTTCAGGGCCAGACCTACATCACTTCTGCTCACATTTCAGCAGCTGGACCACAGCTGCACAGCCACAGCTCAAGACAAGAATATGTCCAGATGTGTGTCCAAGTAGGAAAATGAGATTTTCTTGCCTTTGTTTTTGTATTTTGTTGTTGCTCCCTGGCCAGCAATTTGAGTGCTGAGAGTGGTCAGTAGCAGAAAGAGTGAGTAGAATTTCCAGGAGAGAGTCCATGCATATGTGTGTACATATACATATATACACATACATATAGTCACACATGCATATATAGATGTGTATGCATTTGTATATGTACACGTATACATGTAGAATCTCTCATGAAAATTTTACTCATTCTTTCTTCTGTTGGAAACTCTCAGTACTCAAATATTGTGTGTGTGTGTGTGTGTGTGTGTGTGTGTGTGTGTGTGTGTGTGTGTGTGTAGGGTATACTGAACTGTATTGGGTCCTTTACCTATGGCTGTGTTCAAAGTTGTGATAGCAACTTTGAACATCTGGGTTTGAGATATGTCAGAAGTTGGTGTAGGATGGCCCTTATAGGTCCATACACTAGTCCTCCCCCTCTTCTTGTATGTCCCAGATTTCCATGGATGATGGTCCCAGCCTTTTCTTTCTTCTGCCTTCTGGTTGCAAGTGGCCAATGGCAGGGAGAGCTGGAGATGATGTTGTGACAGGTTGATCTGGGGTTTGGCAAGGGTCTGTACATGTCATGTAGCCACCGCTTTCCCATGGCTATATATCTCACCAGGTCCCTTTCGTGCCTAAGAAGACAGTGACTTCCTATGAGTGTCCGTTGGCGCTGTACCACCCTTGGGTGGTCCCCTCACCTCCTCACAGCTCTATGACTGGTTCCTTCAGTTACCTTGGGAGAATGATCTTGGCTATGGGTTCCTTGTTGATTCAACTGGAACCTAGAGAAAAACCCCTCTAAATGAAGAAACTCTCTCTATATATAAGGTCAGTTTCACACATGTTATCCACTGAGCTGACAGATGTTTTTTCAAAGGTGATATTCAAAGTGTGGACAGTGATGGTGAAGCAAAGTCACATGCTAAGTCTGATGAGATCTTTCTGAAAGATGGCTTATCTAGAATATGTAAAACCTAAGAAAATATACTTTGTTAGAGCTGGGGAGATGGCTTGGTGGACAAGAGCCTTTGTTCTGCAAACATGAGGACCTGAGTTCAAGTCCCCAGCTCCCACACAGAAAGCTGTGCTTAGCTATGCATGCCTGTAACCTTAGCATTGAAAGGCAGAGAGAGGAAGGTCTCCAGAGTTCACTGGGCAGCCAAGCATAGCTAAAAACGGCAAGCTTCTGGTCCAGCAAGAGACCCTATCTGAAAGCGATAAAGAGAATGGTAGATGAAGACACTTGATGCCATGTTCTAGCCTCTGAGTGTGTGCCCAAGGGCATACACACACATACACACATGCACACCTACATGCACACGTGTGCTCGCACACACACACACACATGCATTGTCTTTGATCCAACAGTTTTAGTAATCTAAAGGAAATAATCAGACAAAGACGTATTTACAAAAACATCCAAACAATTATTGTTAGCTATAGCTCAAAACTGGAAGCAGCAGCTATTTGGCAACCTGGAATTGAAGAACTCTTGGAAACCCATATGATAACTCGATGCACATGACTGCTACAGAAAGGTGACCACAGCACAGTAGCAAGAGTCACTTGCAAAGGGGGCTTTTAGTCTGTATTTCTGAAAACCAATAAAAGAGAAAGAATATATGTTGAAGTAACGACTTTGATTATTTCTGGGTAAAAGGATTACAGGTGATAGTCCCCATCGCATTTTCCCTGTATCTTTATAACTTTCTATAGTGGATATTGTAGATAGGATCGTCCTTGACTGAAAACAGCAAAACTCTGAACTCCGGTGGTAGAACAGCTCAATGCTGCAGAGCTGACAACTGAGATGTTCCTGACTTTCCCTTCACGGTCTAAATGTGGCAGCTTCTGCACCCCATTATCAGAACTGTATCAGGTGACTGCGCCTCAGTTATCACAATGCATTTGATCTTGGTCATCTGTGCACTGTACCGCAGTTATATGTGTGTTTAGTCTCTCTCTAACCAATACTACATATACATTCAAAGAGAGAAGTGGACAGGAGGGACTGCCCAAGGGAGAAAAAAAAAGGACAAAAATCCTAAGGCAAACTTAACCTGATTGGCCTGATTTGGGGGCTGTAACCTTATCTAGCTGGAGAGAGGGTGGGAGACAGAGCGTGGGAGACAGGGTTGAATCAGCCACCTTTGCAGCGTCTGCCAGGGACAGCTACTGATTTTATAATTAGTGAAACTGAAAAGCCAGTTGGTCCCTTTATTCTTGACTTCTTCCATCCCTCTTCCTTCCCACCACCCTCCACCTACTCAGGCTGCAACCATCAGCAGATTCGCATTCCCAGAGCCGAGGGGGTGAGGGGGAAACCTGAGAGGAGGCTGCAGCCTCCTCCAGCCTGGGAGTGGAGAGATGGGCAGCAAGCCACAGGACCTGGAATCAGCTTGTTTGCTCGGTTGACCTCATCTGGTCTCTCGAGGTTAGGGCTCTGAAAGCCTATCGGTAGAGACTTTTGCAATTTCAATACTATTATTTTCTAGACAGAGCTCGCCTGGGTGTTTTTCATCCAGAAAGCTTTGGTCTCAGTTGGCTTTCCCAAATAAACACTTGCCCCACAAACAATCCGCACAAAAGGCAAGGGCGTCGGTTGCCTGGGTTCAAATCGTGACTGCTCAGACCCCTGTTATGTGTCCCTGGACCGTAGCTGTGTTTGCTTCCTCCCTGCAAAGTGAGAACCCCGAGACTGAGCACTTCGTAGGCTCCTGGTGAAAGACAGGATGATTCAGTGTTTGTCAAGTGCTTAGGCGGCGCTTATCACATACTGAGTGCTGCAGAAATATTTGTTTTAAAATATGCGTACAAACGTGAGAGACGAGAAATCGCCATAAGCTGTCTGGGCTGGGCTGTGTGCATTTGGAGCTACCTCTCACTCCACACAAACCCGCAAGGAAGGACTGAACTTTTCTTTTGTTCCCTGTTGGTGAAGTTCTGTGGTAGGAAGGAAGAGGGTACACCGGAAGCCATAGGCTTCTGTAAGAGCTGGAGCATCCGAAGGATGTCTTACAGCAGAGACGGACGCTATCACAGCCCTCGCTAAAGATGGGGAAACTGATGCCAGGGGAGATGCAGATATAGACCCACAATTTGCAAGCCTGTAGATGGTGGAGCTGGGATTCCAGCTGGGAGCGCGTGACTCCTAAACCTGGACAGCCCCTGTATTACGTGTGATGTTTTCCAGACAGATTTCGATAGCTCCTAAGAGGTTCACGTACACATCTAATGACCAGTTTTCAAAGGAGCTATTTTTTGTTTATGCAGCTTAGCAAGTCTAGAAACCCATGGCCGACTCTGGCCAGCTGAACTGAACAATTATTAACGTCAGGAATATCTTACAGGTCCAAATTCCTCCCTGAGTCGCTGCAAAATTTTTTTCTGCTCTTCCATCTGTCTGTGCCACCTCAGCGAATGCCACTTTCAGAGAGAAAGAACCCCTGTTTGCTCAGCGTCTTGACGACTGCCTGCAGTCCATCGATCCCATTTGAGCAAACCACGGACGGTCAGGGAGGCATTCTGGTGCTGTCCCTTTAAGAAAAAAGAAAGGAATCGCTCAGCCCCGCCCTACCGGACCCTGGGCCTGTGAAGTTCTGGAGTTTGAGGATTTGCGATAGAGCCAAGATAAAAAGAATTAAAAACAAATTGAACTTAAAAAAAAAAAAAAGCAACAGCAAAAATATTTTTTTTGTTCCAAGTTCATAGGCATTTCTATCCCAAGTTGCAGTGCCCCAGGGGGGATATGAACCAGGGTCACCCGTGGCCCCTTGTGGGCCTTCTCCCTAGCCCCGCCCCAAGCATGGCAACCCTCGGAGAAGACGGGCGTTTGTCCCCGTCAGCTCCCCCTCCCCCCTCCAGCCACTCATCTTTCCCCTTTAAACTGTTGGCTTCGTAATGGTTTTCCTCCTGCTGCCAGGGGGCGAGAGGTGTAAATGCCCGAGGAGCAGCTGCTGGTGAGCTCTCCAGTGCGGATCCTGTGGGTGGGGCCGGCAGTAGGCAAGAGAGACCCAGAGAGATTAGGTGAAACCTTAGCCGCGGCCTTCTGGACATGGTCCAGTGTCTTTCAATGATTCCTTTGTGTGCTTTGGGTGCTGGGCTTGTTTGGCAGGGGACGGGCACCCATTAGACGATTTCACAATGATTTGCCATGTTACAGTTCTAAACATGTCAACTCATCACCGAGGTTAAATTTGTATTTTTACAGTCGTTTTTTTAGACTCTCACACCGCCCCCCCCCCCACCGCAACACACCCTCCTCTCCCCGGGAGCTTCAGGGAAAAGTACTCTAAGAGAATTAATCAAAATGACTAGGTAATGCTCTAAAAATAATAAATGTCGTTACAGGCTGGATCCCTTTCAAGTTCGAGCTCATTCTGAAAGCCTGAAGATCCACATGTCAAGTTTCATGTATATTACTTTTTTATTAGGAGGAAGTGCCCTATTGTGTAGACACAGGTACATTATGAAGACACATGGATGTTACGACTCGCCCATCACCACCGGGCTGGTTTTCAGCTAAGTTTATTAAGCAACGTGGTTGAGGAGGGGGCAAAGGGCGGACACTGAACTCCTTACCCTCTCTTCTTAAACCAGACTTGCAAATTAGGATCTGCTACAGACGGGCTTGGGCTTGGAGCTCTGAACACAAGGGTAGCAGAGATCCTGGTCCAGTTAGTGACATGGTTTGGTTTCCCTCGCCCCACCCACTGGACAGTACTCCAGCTAGGCGAAGGCGTTAGAAAATACAGAAAGACAGATTGTTAGTGCATGCAGACAACAGCAGCAGCAACAACCAAATGAACAAGTAACTTTGTGGGCTTGTTGTTGTCGCCGTCGTCGTTTTGTTCTGTTTTTAGACAGATTCCCCTATTGTAATCACCTGGCTTTGAACTTGAGATCCTCCTGCCTCAACTACTCAAGTGCTTGAATTACAGCTATGTAACTGCTGTTATCGTGGCTTCAAAATATTAACTCCAAAAGAATGTGTGTGCATGTGTGTGTGTGCGCATGCTTGCATGCATGCATGCTTTGTGTGTATGTGTACTTGCAGGTGTGTGCGTGTGTACTCATTCTAGAGTGTGTGGAGACCACAGGCTGACATCAGGGGCCGTCCTTAACTGCTTTCTAACTTAGTTTTTGAGACAAGATCTCATGCTGAAACTGAAACTCACTGATTTCGCTAGTCTGGCAGGCCAACAAGCCCCAGGATCCACCCATCTCTCTCTCTCTCTCTCTCTCTCTCTCTCTCTCTCTCTCTCTCTCTCTCTCTCTCTCTGTGTGTGTGTGTGTGTGTGTGTGTGTGTGCGCGCGCGCGCGCGCGCATGCGCGTGCCAGGATTGCAGTTGTGTGCTGCCATCTGCATGGGTGCTGGGAATCTCAACTAAATTCTCAAGCTTGCACAGCAAGGAATTTACCTACTCAACGATCTCTCCCGCCTCCCCCCCATCCCAAGAATGTTTTTTTATAAATGGGGGGCAGGGTAGCTTAAGGTACTTAAGGCCTTTAAGCATGGCTGGAACAAGGTCAGTAAGACTTAAGGTGAGGCTGAGGGGGGAAATCTGTGTCAGAGGAGAAAGGAAGTGGTGGTGATGAGGTGGATCCCTTTCCTTCTTTAACTGATAAAGTCCCTGTTTTCCCGTGGGCCCTTCCAGCAAGTAGATGCCCCCCAAGTATCCATGAGCAAGGGCCCTAACCATCCGCAGTCCATAGATCATTTGTCTGTGTCAGGCCGGGCTGCTAGGTCAGGGCGCTTGTGATGAAGAATAGGAGTGAGGATTCCTGAGGCTTGACTGTGTGTGTTATTTGTGCCCAAGTCGAAGCCTGGGGCTAAGTCACTAGGATATTTCCGACCTAAGAAATGCCATCTGGCCTGAGACTATTCCTTAGATAATTCCAGGGCCTTCATCCTCCAAAGAAAGGCTGGTTGCCGTGCTCTAAGTCCCGGCCTTCCTTAGCCGGCCTCCATAAATCATGGCTGGCAGGAAAGACTGGAGGGTCATGGGTAATTGAATTCCAACCAACCTTCACATCTAATTCAAGCCAACCCTCCGACTGGACTCTTTGCTGGATTAATCTGCTGTCAGAGCCGGTAAATAACTATTGTTTTTAAATTCGAAGAAACCCATTGTTGAGGGCCTACTGTGCATGAGCTTCTTGAGAGGTGCGGTCATCATCCCAGCTCATTCACTCCCCCCTCCCTCTTTCATTCCTTCATGCTGTCCACACTCCTACCAGAACCCAGACTTGAGAAGTTATCTGGCAGTGGGGAGGAAAATAAAGGTCATCTTGGGGTCATTCCTGCAGAAAACTTGTTCTCCGGACTCCCTAAGCTCCTGCTGGGGAGATAGGTCATTTACCATGGGGACGCCGAAGCTGATTCTGTGCAAGAAAACGGATAAGGATGTTTCAAAAACGTCAGTCCCCAGCCCCTGAAGACTCTTATTCAAGTTCTTCGCCACCATATTTGATGTGGGATGTCAGGTCTGGGGGTTGAAGGGTTCTCACCTGTGATGTGCTTGGGGGTGGGGGTGGAGAGGAGCTGTCCTCACCAACACTGCTTGGGAAGAGACCAGGGAGCTCTAGGTCCCTCACGCCTGTGACATTACTGCTAATGGCTGTCACTCTCTGTCGGGACTCAGCAGCCCCAGCCTCCGTGATAGGCCTGCCTGGACACTAAGCCTGAGGCAGACAATGCTTGTTCAAGAGTCCCTTCAGTGGAACTGTCTCCGGACTTCACTCCTTTGGTAAGCTCTATGTGGCTCTCCATGTATGCATGACCTGGAGTCCATTACCGGAACACACCCGTGGCAGTCCGCATTTTCGAAAAAAAATATAGCCTCTACTTCCTCCGTCAGGGGGCCGCGTCACACTCCGCCGCTGGTTCTCATTCTCAGACAGTTGCATCCCAGCTCGTGGGTGACTGTGTTCTGGCCCTCCAACTCGTAATAAATCGAGCACTGGGTTGCTACAGATAATATTCTTGGCAGCAATATGATTTTGAGCAATGAGTCAAGATTGTGCAGAGGTTTGCTCAGGGGAAAAGAATTAATGTGACTGAATAATTTTTACTTTCTTGTTTTAATTCCAGGATGATAGGAGGGCCCTGTGATGTTGCCAGTGGCCTGGGGACCCCCGAGCAGCCCGGAAAGCAGTGTTTAGGTGGAAATGTTAATGGAATTCTCCCTTGCTGCTGGGTAAGAGTCTGCTGTCGAGAGATAATTACCCAGGCAAAGATGAAGCAGCATCATGGGAGCCCGGTGCTAGGCAGAGACCTCTCTGTTTATTTTCCATGTTGCCACATATTGCTGCATAATCGCCTTCACCATTTAACTTCATTAACATCTTGGCTAACCCGGGGCCACACACTTGTACTTAAAAGAGAGAAATTAAGTAACCCTGAACCTACATGTAATTGTAAACAAAGTTACCGGAGATGTGGGTTAAGAGGTTTGCATTGTTGTCGTGGGTGGCAAATGAGTCCGCCTTTCCCCTATCCTTCCTGCTCCCTGAGAGATGAAAGTCAGACCAACCTTTGCTGACTGTTCTCTGTAGGCTGTCCCTGGCATTGCACAACGCGCATGAACTGCCCTCCTTAGTCTCCATGGAGATTCCACGAGTCGTTAGCAGAGGAAACTCTGTCAGAAAGGTGAAGAAACGTGTCCGAGGTCCGATGGCTCGTGAGCAGCGGAGTAAAGGTTCCAAATATGGCAGATTGGTCCCAGCTGTTTTGAGAGAAATCACAGGACCACACTTGTTCCAAGACCTCAAGTCTGGTCTTCTAGACTCTACAGATGAGTTCAGGCATTTTATTTAGCTCTACAGCTGTCACTATTGGAATGGCTGCCAAGTCTCCCGGCCCGTCTTCCCTCCAATTCTGTATTTCTGTTTTATCGAGAAGGTATTTGCATCCAACCCCGTGTGGTCACGACTAGGCTTCTTAAGTCATCCCCACAGGCCTCTGCGTTGGACAGGTTCCTGACCTTTTCTGAACAGTCTGTAAGTAATCACTGTCTCTCACTCTAGGCTCCTTCTCCCCAGACTCATAAAAGCTACATCAGAAAACCTGAAAGGATGTTTTGGTGCACATCTGTTAGCCTTGACCAAACTCAATAATTGTTAACACTTTTCCACACTTAAAGTCCCAATTTATGAATCCATTTCCCCCTAGACGACTTGAAAGCTTGTTCCAGAGATACCTCAGCCTGCAATGTTTCGGCCTGCATCACACGTCTCACAAGAACATGGAACATGTTAGTAAGTGACCACATTACCATCACAGGCCTGAGAAAATTAGCTACCATTCCTTGATTTCATCTACCCAGCACCCCTGCCCCTCCCCCACCGTGTGTGTGTGTGTGTGTGTGTGTGTGAGAGAGAGAGAGAGAGAGAGAGAGAGAGAGAG